GTAAAAACAAGGTGTCAACAAAAAAAAAAAAAATAGTAAAGTATCTAAATCTTCGTATCAGATATTTTACGATAAGTGTTCTTTCTCATTATTTTGGGTAGCTTTGTAAAAAATGAATGTAGCCCATTTATTTGGTATGAAATATGCCAAGAATAATGCCAAGTACTGCGATATTTGATGGGGTCGCATTATACACAAGCTATATGAAAAAAAGTAATATATTTCATGAAAAAAAAGTCAGGGGTCGCACTATACGAGTATTATTATACACGTGTATATACGGTAACAATGAAAATACCCACCAACTACCGGTGGCGAGAAAGTTATACTTTGGTTCATTTGAAGAGACATATAAGCAATATTAGGGTTAAGTTTTTACTCTTTTACTGGCAAAGTTCCGGAAAATTATAATCTATAGAACTTAATTACTATATATACTCGTGTTTTGTGTATAATAAGACTCCAAAGGCCCGAGTCTTACAACGGTCGAAACGTTGTCCGTGAAGGTCAAAGCTCCAGATTAAACCAATCACTGTATAACAATATTTCTTTTGTTCGATACCGCAAAGTGATAACAGTGTCTAACTAACTAACCAAGCTAATGTTAAAAATTAAAAAGCCTCTACACTTTTAAAACCTCTTACTTATCCATACTAAGAGAAATAATGTCTATTGTCATTAGAGTCTAAATAGACGAACTACTTACATTAAAGACACAAGTACCGTCAAGAACCTTTAAAAATCGTTACTAACTTTAATTTTTTTTTACATTCTATTTAAAATAAATAAAACACAGATTTTTTAAAAAAAATATACTCATTAAAAGATCTTGCCAATTTTCAGTCACCTCCAAATTTTAACAATTAAGGACGGATATCAGTGAACTTTGAAGCAAATGAGTGTTAATTTTGTACTAAGCACATTTTAGAATTGAAATGAATTTTCCTCAAATACTAAATCATTTTCAAAAAAAGGTGAACTTAACTTTTTCCATTTTAACGTACTTAAATGTTTTAACAGAGGACATATCGTTCAACTCAGAACTTCGAATTCACATTGGAATAACACCACATGCTTCCCGAAAGCTTGGCAAAATATTAAGAAATCGGAAAATCACGTTAGAAATAAAGAAAAGAGTACTTAACTATTATTTCATGTCAGTCCTCATATATGGCAGTAAATGTTGGGTAACTTCATGACAGATGAAGAAGAGACATGAAGCAAAGGAAATGTGGTTCTACATTAGGATGCACTAGCGAAATTTTAGGAAAAAAAATGAAAAGAAAAAATACATTTATATTTAAACTCCGAAAGAAACAGTTGACATTTCTAGGGAAAGAGGGTTTGGTAAATTTGATACTGACATGACCTATTGAAGGCGAGAGGGACAGAGGAATGTACAAGATATCCTACCGAAAGTGCCTGTGTTAATTGTCGTTCTGGTAGGGATTAGGAGAGATAGGGAAAAGACAAACTTTACTAGGGGCTACAATGGACATAAAATTGTGGAGAGCCATGATCGCCCAGTCTCTGAACAGTTACCCGACAACAAGAAGAAGCATCTGTGCTTATTGAGGTAGGCCGTGCCTACTCATGACAACAGATCCACAGTAATATCATGGTAAACTGTGTTCTTTTAATGACTGCCATTTTCTTACGTTTACGTCCCATGCAATAAATTTCTGAATTGTAACCAAATTGCCTAAGGGTTATTTTTTTTTTACTGAAAATTTTTTAATATTTCAGAAAAATACATTTTGTAAGAACTTTAAATAAGTTTTGAATAAGTCGAATGTCTGTTGGGAGTCAAGTTCACTCCAGGCTTCAAGTTGAATTCATATACACAACAGTACAAAAGTTTGAAGCAACCCTCTGAATTAGCATGGGATGAATTTGTGAAAACAAAAATGAAAAAGAGTTCTTAGGGTCCTTAAAAAAGAATGGAATCAATTATAAAACTTATAAGTTTGAGAAACTTTTGCAACGAATGCTAAAAATTTGTGCTGCCGTAATCAAGGCTAAACGAAGATATTTTGACGAGAGCAAAATTTAATAATAAATTCTTTTTTTTCTTTTTGTCATAATACAATTTCTAATTAAAAATGTCACTTTTTTTTAACCATGTATAATAATTTCTCTTATTTAATGTACAAAACAACTACTTCTGGTGCCAATTTATTACAAGGGTTGTCCTCAAACTTTGGAACTGTAGTGTATACGATCCATCGTTAAAGATACTGGGAAAATGGTCGGCATTTGTCTTACTCCAGTAATTCCTTAACTCATGCTAATTGCTCTATCGTTACAAGAATCAAATAAGACCATAATGGAATCTGTGGCGGTCGATAGTCGCGGATGTCTTGAAGAGACATGATATTTAAAAGAAAGACTTACTCAATACCTTCAAAATTAAATTAGAAAGATTTCACCATCAAGGATCAGGCTTAAATTTTGAACTATCATAATGAATGGTTGTTCTTTAAAGGAGGCTTCGTGCCTTAGACGCCTGCTGGACTCATCGAAACCTAAAGTGGAACTCATCTATACGATCCATCGTTAAAAATCCTGGGAAAATGGTTGTCTCATTGCAACACTCCGACCATGCTTGATTTTTCCAAGAGACAAATCAGACCAAGAAATTTCGCATTATTGCCACGTCTGGGATATAGCTAACTTATCCTCACTTTCCAGCTTTGAAGAAGTTCAAAATCGGTTACGGGGCCTTGTCGGGTGTGACTTATTTTTAGCCCTACATTCCCTTATTAACAAACGCAACGTCGGCAGCACATTACTACTTTCATGAAAAATGTTCAATCACAGTCCATTCTTTAGTTCCAACATGTCAAACATTTGCATCCAAGACCCTCATTGCTGCGTCCACACAGTTGAATGATACCCATTTTCTACATATTCCATAAGAAGTAGTTTCCACCCCAAAAGATTGTTCCCAGGAAACGCTTCTTTGAGAAACAGAATTCCGCGTATCTGTCTCCATTTCTGAGATGAGATATTATGTACATTATTTACATTATTCCGACTATTGTCCTCATATTTGTCGCCATATTTATTACAACGTTTCGGCCGTTGTACGCTCCGGCTTTCTTCAGGTGGTTGGAATATCGAAGTGAACCCTTTATTTCGCTCACTGGCAAGACTGTTCTAGTTCCACGTGCTATGTTTTAATGGACGTCAGTTATCAGTTATTTCCTGTTAATTCCCCTTTCCAAGTTTTTCCACTTTCTTAACCGAGTATTGAACTAACACTCTTTGGGTCCTCAAAGACACATGGCATAGTGGATAAAGGCCTTAGTTAGATCCAGTGACAGGACCCAAACAGTGTGAGTTCAATACCCGGTTAAGGCACGATGAAACATGGAGGGGAATTAACAGGAGATAACTGATAACTGATATCCATTAAAGATGGCATGTGGAACTAGAAACAGTCTAGCCCAGTGAGCGAAATAAAGGGTTCAGTTCGACATTCCAACTACCTGAAGAAGGCTTGTAAACGGCCGAAATGATGTAATAAATATAGCGAAAAAAGATGAGGACAATAATCCGAATAATGTAAATAGAATCACGCGTGTTTATTTGATTAATTTGATTTTTATATTTTATCAACCTTTTGTAGTTTATTTAAAACCTAAACATATTTTTAGATTCTAAGAGTAATTCTTTCTTTGTTGTTCTGGAAAAATGCATTAACATTTTTAAAAGAATAAAAATGATTTTTTTTCCAGATACAAATCCTACTATTTAACACTTAGCTGGTGCCGAGCTGCTGGATTGATACTTTTCCCAAGGTATGGATTCAAACTCAAATTCGAACTCAGCTCTCTGGTTCCTATACGGAACCTCTTTCTATTACACCACCTGCACATTCGCACTCCCATATGAACGCTTCCTTGATTAATACAATCTTAACCTCTTCAGGTTTACAGTCACTAGTTATCTATCCTCCATATACTCATCATCTTTATATCTTACTTGTTCCTCAGCACACAACCTCATTCAGTAATCCTCTACCATGAGTAGCTCTTGGGATTTGTATTGTGTGATCTTTAGAGGAAAATAAAAATTAATAAACAGACTTTATTTGTTTGTTGACGCTAAAGAAAATATTTGACAAAAAAAAATGTTAAAACGAAATTAGATTGTAGCTGGCTTCAAATAGGAGTAGGTTGCCTATCGTTCGGTTCACACTCCTTCTCCGTCTATTGAACAAGAGTAGAGGTTTAGCCCTTGTTTCCTTTTTATCGCTGGGTTCCCGGTTCCTGCAAAAGTCTTCTCATTTTTCTCACCCAGTAACCTTTTATGATTAGCAATTAATATTTTACATATTTTTTACAGGTTTGTCATGCAGGTGAAATTTGTTAAAATGATTTTTTTTTTAAAATTTAATTTTGGGAAAAATACTAGTTTGACGAGTTCATGAATAATTTAGCCGCATTTTCCTGTTAAATTCGCACGTGTGTCGGATGTACGGTTGGGGTTTCAGCTGTCGGTGTGGAATGTGGAATCGGCAGGTCGAGTTCTAATTCTGGCAGTGTTTCGTTCACTTAGCGGTAATACTCATGTAAAAAGTATGAAACATTTTTCTTTTTCTCTGTTATGAGTTAAATAGCAGGGTAGACTGGACACTGTAACCTTTGGTGATAACCAGTCTACGATGCATAGATTAATCGATTTGTTTCTTTTTAAGGCTTATCAATACGTTGTAGGTTATTAAAAGTCGAAGTATTTTTAATAATAATAATTAATTTTTAATAGTAATAATTCGTTTTTTGCTAGTGAATATTGCATTAAAAGTTTTAAATTTGATACAAGCCCAACTATTTAACCTATAGCTGGAGTTACCTTGTTTAAGAAGGAAAGCTGAATTCAAAACTAGCTTGAAGAGGGATGGATTCCGTAAGGTTATCTTGCTCTAAACACATCCACAAAGACCTCTTGTGGGCGATGAAACTTTTGGCTGAAGATGAAAGTTTCAATAACAGTATTTATTTATGTGAATGAGGAGAAGAAGGAGAAGAAGAAGGAGGAGGAAGAGGAGGAGGAGAAGTAGAAAAAAAAAAGAAGAAGAAGGAGGAAGAAGAAGAAAGAGGAGGACGAGGAGGAGGAGAAGAAGAAGAAAGAGGAAGAAGAAGAAAAAGAAGAAGAAGAAGAAAGAGGAGGACGAGGAGGAGGAGAAGAAGAAAAAAAGAAGGAGGAAGAAGAAGAAGAAGAAAGAGGAGGACGAGGAGGAGGAGAAGAAGAGAAAAAGAAAAGAAGAAAAGAGGGAAGAAAGAAGAAGAAGAAAGAAAAGGACGAGGAGGAGGAGGAGAAGAAAAAAAAGGAGGAAGAAGAAGAAGAAAGAGGAGGAAGGAGGAGAAGAAGAAAAAAAGGAGGAGGAAGAAGAAGAAGAAAAAGGAGGAGGAAGAAGAAGAAGAAAACGAAGGAGGAGGAGAAGAAGAAGAAAAAGAAGAAAAAAAGAAGAAGAAGAAGAAAGAGGAGGAGGAAGAAGAAGAAGAAGAAAAAAAAGGAGGAGGAAGAAGAAGGAAGAAGAAGAAGAAAAAAGAAGGAAAGAAGAAGAAGAAAGAGGACTTTCTAGGAGAAGAAGAAGAAAAAAAGAAAAGAAAGAAGAAGAAGAAGAAGAAAAGAAAGAGGAAAAACATTTTAGGAGAAGAAGAAAAAAGAAGGAGGAAGAAGAAGGAGGAGGACGAGGAGGAGGAGGAATAGAAGAAAAAATAAAGGAAAAGAAGAAGGAGGAGGAAAAGGGAGGAGGAGAAAGAAGAAAAATTAAAGAAGAAGAGGAAAGACGAGGAGGAGAAGAAAAAAAAAAGGAGGAAAAAGAAGAAGAAATAAAAGAAGGAGAAAAAAGAAAAAAAGAAGAAAAGAAGAAGAAAGAATAAAGAAGAAATAGAAGAAGAAGAAAAAAAAAGAAGGAGGAAAAAAGAAGAAGAAGAAAAGAGGAAGGAGGAGGAGAAGAAAGAAAAAAAGAAGAAAGAAAGAAAAGAAGAAGAAGAAGAAGAAATTCTGGTATTTTTATTTGCGTGTTTGATTGTTATCTTTAAATTTAAGTTAGGCTTGACATCCGTTAATCTCTTAGAGCTTCGAAAGTTCGTGTTGTCACTCCTTGAATTCGGAACGCCATAAATGAACATTCATTTTTTTAACCTAATTGTACTTAATTAATCAATGAAAATCAAACAACAAAAATCAAAATACCAGAATTTTTTCTTCTTATTTTTTTTATCCATATCTCATTCTCTGATGAAGCTTTAATAAAAATGGAATATGTTAGGTGGATAAACGTTGCTTATTTGTTTTTTTATTCAATCATTTATCAATGTACAGGGTGTCCGTAAAGTATAGGCACACAGGAAATCTCATTAACTATATTTTTTTTTATTTCCACAGATTAAACATGGTTTTGTTGAAAATAGTAAAAAAAATGACTTCTTTTTTCTGGAGTATACTAAAGGAGAAGGTGTACTCAATGAAAATAACAGGTGCAACACACTTAATTGAATGCATAACGGTGTCTTGTTTCATCCGGACAATGTTCCAGAACACACACATCTTTGATTTCAATGGCTGCTGGGCGGGACTGTGGCTTTGAAATGGTTCTTCTGATTTCACTATCATCTGTTCCCCGACAGGAAAAAGTAATTGGTATCGCAGAGATGATGATTTAATATCTGCTGTTAATGACCTTTTTGACTAACAAGATGAACAGTCATATATCAGTTTACTTGGACAGAAACAATCCAAAGTTGAAATCAATACATGCAAAATTTCAGAGCTCTAGCATCACTCCTCTAGAGTCAACCTATGAACTTTCAGTCCACAAAAAGAGGCTTTGTATTCAAATATTACATAACTCCAATATATATATATATATATATATATATATATATATATATATATATATATATATGTTGTGGCCTTGTTAGTGCCAGAAATAAAAGCAGAGAGGAATTGAGTTAAACAAATATATTAACAGAAACAGAATTATAAACATATACAAACTAAAGTGTTACAGAAAGAATGTTCAGTCCAACAGTCAGAGCTGACTAATGGAAACTTCGCTCTTCAAAAGGCAGTATCTGCTCCTATTTATAGCTGGGAGAATCCATGCATTCTTGGGTAAATCACACATAACACACACACACACACACACACACACACACACACACATATATCTATATATATATCTATATCTATCTATATTTATATATATATATATATATATATATAGGGAAATCATTAACTATATTTTTACATCCACAGATTAAATATGGTTTTGTCGAAAAAAGAAAGAATTGATTTTTTTATCTGGGGTATGCTGAAGGAGAAGGTGTACTCAATGAAAATCACAGATGCAACACACTTGATTGAACGCATAAATATGCTAAAATTGGCGGCAATGTGGTGTTATTGCGTCGAGTTCACGTGAATCTTGCATAGCACATTAACATTTGCATCACAAAGGAAATCGTATTGAAGAGGTTATTTGTTAATATACTTATTCTATAAAATGTTGAAAATTTCATTTCTTGAAAATATGGATTTTTGCCGATGTACCTAGACTTTGGGGATACCCTGAATATAGGAATAAAATTAATTGAAGGTTTATTTTTGGGGGGTAAATTAATGACAGTGCTGTCTTTATGAAATGAATGCACAAAAGCATAGGAATATTTTCAACTAGATGGCTTTGATTTTAAAGTTGTTTACTCATTAAGTTGCTTATGCCCAGTTGTTTACTAATTTCAGATATTTAATAATATGATCGATAGTTTTACCTAGCAACAATATGAGCGTACCGATTTAAAGCTTAAAATGAAACAAAAACAGCTAAAAACACGCATATTTGATTGATTGATTTGCTTTTTACGATTTATCAACAATTTGCAGGTTATTTAAAGCCAGAAAACACTTTTGGATTTCAAGAAAATTTTGGTTGGCTGGTTGTTTTTGTTTAACGGAATATCAAACTGTTTTATTTAGTACCGAAATCTAAATATATTGTACGCAATTTTATTTAATTTTTGGAGATAATAATAGTTTAGTGACAAAAATTAACCCATAGCTGGGGGAAGACGAGTTAAACTCAAAACTTTTTCCCCAAGGGCTGTTGCGCGTATGTGAATATAACTAACCCAAATAGAATTGGAACTCAGTTCTCCGATTCAAAATTGAAAGCCATTATTCATTACACCACCCGCACATCCAATCTAACAGCACCTGGTATTCCCAAGTACTCGACATTGATTAACTTCGGTAAGCGGACGAGAATCGATGTTTCAACGTATTATGTTGATTAAGAATATATGGTTATACATTAATTTCGTAAGTAATGAACGACAAGCGCATTTTTTTTCGAGTTTATCCAGATATTTTAGGCACGATATAATACGATACTGTTATATTGTATTATAATTTATAACATCAACACCTGCCTTCACGCTATAGATGAGCTTTCAAAATAGTCTCAAAGCGCGAAAGGATTTTAAAGCTGGTTGTGTCCTATCAAAGAGAACGATAGATATAACTTCTTTTTACTATTATTTCTATGTATTAATATAGGAAAAATAGAGTATTTTTCCTATTGCCCTACTGTTTTCTGTCAACTAACATTTCATGCCACGACGAGATTTATCGAAGTTTCTTGTGATGGTAATTATGTTTAGAATATCATAGAGAATACATTTGAGCAATGGGGAAGTTTTTATAGAGAATAGAAACAGGGAAACAGTGAAACTGCTATCTGTCTATATTTAGACATTATATTTATATATAAGCCCCACCCCCTATAGAGGAGAACATGACTAAAGACTGTGTGTACGCTATCCCGTGCAGCTGCGGAAAGAAATATAAAGGAGAGACAGGTCGCCCCCTCAAGGTTAGTCTTCAAGAACACCAGAAGGCTGTAACACGATGGTAAGTGGAAAAATCAGGCGTGGCTGACCACATATGGAGAGAGAAGGGAGATCACCGCCCCCTGTGGGATCATGTTGAGATTATAGACAAGGAACACCATTGGAAAATTCGTAAACTTAAGGAATCAGCACATATGCTAGGCCACAAAAAATCTCCTGAGCCGACCAAGCATAGAAATAAATACAATATCGGAACCAGTAATAAGTAGCGCCAGAGAAAAGCAATGATAACAACAAAGTTGCAATATGAGCTCTGGTAAAAACAAAAAAAAAAACAGCAAAATTGAAATATGAGCACTGGTAAAAATGGGTTTGAAGGCATTAGGTTTATAATACCTAGAAATTCATACCCAGATGTCCTCAAGAACACATAGCACAGTGGATAAAGGCGTTGGTTAGATCTAGTGACAGGACCCAAAAAGGCCCGGTTAAGGCAGTGGAGAACATAGAGAGGGGAATTAACAGGAGATAACTGATAACTGACATCCATTAAACATGGCACGTGGAACTAGAACAGTCTACCCCAGTGAGTGAAATAAAGGGCTGAGTTTGACATTCCAACCACCTGAAAAAGGTTGGAGCGTACAACGGCCGAAACGTTGTAATAAGTATGGCGAAAAAGATGAGGACAATAGTCCGAATAATGTAAAATAAAGTGAAACTGCTGTTGACAACCAGGAAGAGTGTTGAAATTTCTGGAACGTATGAAAAGGATTCAGTGAATATCTGTCTGAATTTCTGGGATGAGGAGTTGTCATTACTTACACTATTTACATACGAAATTTTTTCTTCATCATTGTTTTTGTTGTTGTCATAACGTTTCAGCTGTTTTGACCCGGCCTTTATCAGGTGAATGTCGATCTGGGTAATCTACAGGGAATTTCAATCTGATCCCTTTATTTAATCGACTGAGCTAGATTGTTCGTTTTCTACTGTCCATATCTTGGGATAACTCGTCTAGTTCTAATAACAACAACAAGGACGAGGACAATAGCATTGATATAGAATCCAACATCACAGCAGCATTTTATAGATGATGTAGGAGAGCTGTGTCATTGGTAATGGCGTCCGTAGTGATAGCGATGTCATCTGTATGGTCAATATCGGTCAATACTTTTGCGCGACTGGGTTTTACTTTATCACCAAGTCGATATCTTCCCTTTGAAGACAATCAACTATCGATCATTTATAAGCCAAGATAACAGTTACGATGAGAATACATTTTAATTTAAATATAAAAATATTCCATACTTAATTAAAATTAGGCTTACGTAATATGTAGAGTGAAAAGGTGGCATTCAGTTTTTTTTTTTTTTTTGACTAGATTCTTGGTTAGATAATGGTTTTAAAGTTAAAAATTTAGACCAGCCAGACGTTCGTTTGGAGTTAGCTGGGACAATGTTCTTATTAAAATTGATTATTTTACGCTATTGTCCAGCCAATACAATATTCAAGTACCACTCAAGGTAGAAGTTTACAGAATGGGATTGTTTTATGGATGTATGACTTGTAGATTAGGAGGTTATATGGAACAGATAACAGTTGAATCTAGACTTGAAGAGGTTTAGTTTGTAGTGATCGGAGAAGCATCGTCCCGAATGTTTGCTCCACAAATCAGCAACTCTTGAGAGGTAGTTGTCCGAATTAGACTTCCTTTTTACCAACGGAATACGAAGGAAATTAGCATGTTTCGTCCCTGTGTATATAGTGTAGGAATCCTTCTACTCGGTTTTTCGTTGAATGTTAAAATTTGGAGTGACGTGATTCAGTACATTAATGAAATATCGTTACAGGGTCGTTCGTAATTTGGCCGTGTAAAATAACCAAACGCTATTCATTGAAGGAATAAAATCCAGTAGAAAAGACGACGTAGTTTCAACAAATAAACATTGGTTTAATATAACGATAGGAATACAAAAAGTTGATAATAGATTGGAAAGTAAAGTCTTTTGTTTGGGTTGATAAAGTTCTGAAATAAAATATAAAATGTCTTTGTGTACGTGTGTGAGAAACAATAAAATGTTGTGATATGTGTGTTTGTATGAAAAAGTCAACATGTGTGTGCGTGATTCATAGTAAAAACGGATACGAGAGATACAAATTGTTTCTTACTGTTGGCGGTGTTGCCGTGGTCTGGAGTTTGTCAACGCTGTCGTTTTTGACATGAGGTCATGAAGGTCATCAGCGAGAGGTGTGTGGAATTTGGTGGCAGCCGCGTGTATATTGTTTTGGGAACGGATTTCGTATGTTTTTATACACTTTTTCCGAACAATATCGGCTCCAGAATTAAATTATTTATTTATTTCTAATTGGCCCTAAGAAGTCACGTGGTATGTCTTCTACTACGTCCGTACGATATTTGGTCGGTATCTACCTAAAAATAATTATGACTAATACAACAAATATTCTGATTTGTAATCTATGATTTTATTGATGTGTTTTAAGATGTAAGTGTTTTCTTGAGTGTAATTGGTTTATAAATATTGTAATTGATACTTTAGTGGAGACGATAATAGCATAGCGGGTCTTAGATACGAAGGTCTGAACTTGTTGAAGTCAGCAATGAATCACCTGGAATCAGTTTCTATTCAAATAGCGATATTGCTTTCGATGATTTGTCTGTGTGAAAAAAAAGGTCGTAGTGGGAAAAATAATTCATCTACTATGAAGTGAACTTCAATATGCTTAACTTGGATATCTAGTTAATACTTATAACCAATATTGGCGTCAAGTTGAACATTATAATCTTATAATCTATCTTGATGGATTCTCTTTAGGATGTGATTTTCGTCTTCATTGTTTATGTTGTGACCAAATGAATGGTTACGGAATAACAAAAGAAGTGCTTGCAGATAAGTAGTATTTTGCACAGTAAATAAACAGAAGAATATTACACGACTTGAAAGCATGCGGGTTCACTCAATCCCCAAGACTTAATCTCCAGCTAGTCTTATACTCAGTGGAAGAGTCCACAATCGACCGATTGGACGGAGGACAGCAACAACACTTTACAAAGTCTTTGGTTGCAATTATGCAAGCTTACTAGAATGGCCCTGGTGCACGGACTTGTAGGACTAAACTTGTTTTGTTCTAACTGAATTTGGCTATAAACAACTGTCTATATCTCTGAGATGAGGTATTATGATTATTTATATTATTCGGACTGTTATCGTCCTCTTCATTGCCATATTCACAACGTTTCGGCCGTTTGTACGCTTCAGCCTTCGTCAGGTTATTTTGAATTTTAAACCGAACCCATTATTTCGTCCATCGGTGTAGATTGTTCTAGTTCCACGTGCCATGCCTCTTCCGGATGTCTCAGTTATCCCCCTTTAACTCAACTCTCCATGTTCACCATTGCTGCAGGTTGGTATTGAACTCACAACGCTTTGGGTCTAGTCACTGGATCTAAGTAACGTCTTTATCCATTAAGACATCCGGAAGAGGCATGGCACGGTGGACGGGCGAGATAAAGGGTTCGGTTCGAAATTCAAATCACCTGAAGAAAGCCGGAGCGTACAACAGTCGAAACGTTGTGAATATCGCAATGAAAATGAAGATACCGACCCGAATAATGTAAATAATGCGAACAACTCAAATCTACGCTAAAAGTAAAGAAAATTGCTTTAGAACTCGTTTAAGTTTTCTTTAGCACAGAGAAGCAAACACGCCCACCAAAATATAGAGAGAAGTCAGTAAAATTGCAAATCAGCACACGGACCTGACTACACAGTTGGTACAAATATAAGTA